AGAGGCCCACGGGGGGCGAAAGTCTCCGCTGGGGCCTTCGGTGGACCTCGATGTGGGGCGAGGGAGCGCGGTACTCGGAGAGGCCCCCGCCCCGGGAAGGCTTACAGAACCGCGGACAGGCAGCACGTTGCAGTCTACCATGCCTCAGCGTGCCCGGGCTCACGGTGAGGAGGAGGAGGAGGAGGAGGAGGAGGAGGAGGAGGAGGAGGAGGAGGAGGGGGAAGGAGGAGGGAGAGGAAGGGGGAGGAGGGGTGCGCCGAAATGGATGGTGGGGAGGCGTGCGGACGCAGCCACAGGCACCTTCGGTGGTGCTCCCTATGGGGCCACGAAACGTGTGAGGGGTGTGCCGAAATGGGTGCGGGGGCGGCATGCGGGCGCAGCCACTGGGGCCTTCGATGGAGCCCCCTATGGGGCCGCGATCCTTGTGAGGGGTGTGCCGAAATGGGTGCGGGGGCGGCACGCGGGCGCAGCCACTGAGGCCTTCGGTGGAGCTCCCTTTGGGGCCACGAAACGTGGGAGGAGTGCGCCGAAATGGGCCTGCGGTGGGCGGGGTGGACGCATGCGAACTGTGCCACTGGGGCCTTCGGTGGAGCTCCCTATGGAGCTGCGAACCGTGTGAGGGGTGTGCCGAAATGGGCCTGCGGTGGGCGGGGTGGACGCATGCGAACTTTGCCACTGGGGCCTTCGGTGGAGCTCCCTATGGGGCCACGAACCGTGTGAAGGGCGTGCCGAAATGGGCCTGCGGTGGACGGGGAGGACGCATGCGGACACCCCCACTGGGGCTTTCGGTTGAGCTCCCTATGGGGCCACGAACCGTGTGAGGGGTGTGCCGAAATGGGCATGAGGTGGGCGGGGAGGACGCATGCGAACTGCGCCACTGGGGCCTTCTGTGGAGCTCCCTATGGGGCCACGAAATGAAGGGCGTGCCGAAATGGGCCTGCGGTGGAGCTACCTATGGGGCCACGAACCGTGTGAGGGGTGTGACGACATGGGTGGAGGGGACGATGATGATGACGATGATGATGAGGATGTGGATGAGGATGATGCTGCAGATGATGATGCTGATGGATGATGGGTGATGGTGATGATGGTGACGATGGTGTGGGGAAGGGGAGGGGATGATGATGAAGCTGATGATGATGATGCTGCTGCTGCTGATGATGAGGACGACGAAGACGACGACGACGACGACGACGACGACGACGATGATGATGATGATGATGATGATGATGATGATGATGATGATGATGATGATGATGATGATGGTGATGGGAGGGGAGGAGGGGGAGGAGGAGAGGAGGTGGGACGCGGGGCGCTGTCTCTTCAAAACGAGGACCCAAAACCACAGGATTGTGGGGAACAATACAAAATACACGTTGTGGCACAGTCTGCAGTCATGATCGTGAGGCCCGCGAGCACTTTGCATTGTTTCAAAGACGGCGAGGGTGTCAGCATATTCCCTGCTGCGCGCAGGGCTACCATCCCTAGCAATTACCCTGGCGACGTACCCAACCCCTGCGCGATGCGGGGCAGGAGTAGATTGGGAAATTTGACGAGAAGGCGGCGACGTGACATGGACGCATATACTTCTGCGAGCTGCATTCGGAGGGTTCGCAGGTCCCTAATGCCCACCAGCAGCCCTCGAACGCGGCGACAGTTTCGCAGATCGCAACCCTGGAGGGACGGCGAGGTCTACCTCAGGTCCGCGCGGTGCCTCGCTCCGCTGGACCCACCAGCAGCCCTCGAACGTGGCGACAGTTTCGCAGATCGCAGCCCCGGAGGGACGGCGAGGTCAACCTCAGGTCCGCGCGGTGCATCGCTCCGCTGGACCCACCAGCAGCCCTCGAAAGTGGCGACAGTTTCGCAGGTCGCAGCCCACAGGGACAGCGAGGTCTACCTCAGGTCCGCGCGGTGCCTCGCTCCGCCGGACCCAGCAGCAGCCCTCGAAAGTGGCGACAGTTTCGCAGGTCGCAGCCCCCCAAAGACGGCGAGACCTCAGGTCCGCGCGGTGCCTCGCTCCGCTGGACCCACCAGCAGCCCTCGAACCCCCCAGGGACGGCGAGGTCTACCTCAGGTCCGCGCGGTGCCCCACTCCGCTGGACCCACCAGCAACCCTCGAAAGTGGCGACAGTTTCGCAGATCGCAACCCCCACCCCCGCAGGAACGGCGAGGTCTACGTCAGGTCTGCGCGGTGACCCACCAGCGGCCCTCGAAAGTGGCGACAATTCGCAGATCGCAGCCCCCCAGCGACGGCGAAGAAAGGGCAAGCGGAGGCGGGAGGCGGGAGGAGAAGGAGGGAGACGCGGCCACGGTGCTCTATCCAAAACGAATACCCAACCAAGGAAGGTTGCGACAAATCACAAGTTGTCCCTAGCCCCTTGAACAAAACTGGAAGAACTGCACACACGCGCGCGTCGTCGCTCGCGCATGCCAGAATATGTCAAAAACCTTAGATGCCGCAGAAATTTCAAACACCGAATGCCCCGAAAACAGTTTTTAGAGAAAGATGCGTTGTATCAACAACTTGCGCTCGGGCCTTTGCAAATTCTTAAGAAAACCACAGGTTGCTCAACGCACTTCTTGCGCGCATGTCGGAATCGTTCCAGCGCCCTCGCGCGCGTGCTGCCGCAAGAACCGTTTGCAACAAACACGACGAAGCGCACGCGCGCGCGTCGCCGCGCGCGCATGCAGAAATCAGTACAAAACCGTGGTTGTCGTAAAGCTGACAAAATCGACTGTCCCGAAAATCGATTAAAACACATGCGTGTGCAACATCAATTTTTAAAAATGCCTGCGCTCGCGTTCCTGCGATATTCTAAGAAACAACCATATGTGTTTCAATCGTCTCATCGAATCCGGCCAAACGGGCCACTCGCGCCGCACGTCGAAATCATTCGAACGCCGTTGCGCGCGTGCTAGGGGGCAAGATCCGCTTCAAATAATACCTCGCGCGTCGGCCGCGCGCACATGTGGAACTCCTGCCGGAACCTTCATCGCCGACGCGAAGACGCCGTCATCGTCGTCAGCGTGATCAACATCGGCGCCATCACTGGCGTTGCCGTAGTCGCTGTCATCATCGCCACCAGTATCGCTATCATCATGGTCGCGTTTACCGTCGCCGGCGTTGCCATGATTCCGCGCCCGTCGAAGTCCCCGACCCGCGCCAAACTATCTGGCCGCTGCGCGCGCGAGCGTGTGCGGGCTAGCGCGGCCGCAAAAATTTACCAGCCAGCTTCAAAGACCCATCGCAATCGCCGCCACATGGGTTCTGCAAAATTGCGGGTGGGTGGGTGGGATGGTTGTGCGAGCAATGGACTAGCCAACTCACTGTGAACAACAACGAATTGCATCACATAGGCTCTCCTTTTTACGGAAGAAGTCGGATCCACCACCCTCCTGACGCTGGACTTATCCGCCCCCCCTTTTCCGCCCCCGCCCTTGGGATGTGTTACTTACAAACGAATACGCCCCATCTTTCATTCGAACTGTGAACTCGTACGACCCCAAGCAAACCGGCATCGGCCCCCCCCCCTTCCTCCCTTGCAACAAAAAACAATGCGCACACACTTCTTCAACAATAATCGTTTGTATAATCCCGTGTAAACAATGGGACGAAGTGCGCGCGCGCGTCGTCGCGCGTGCATCCCGAAACCAATCAAAAACCATACATTTCGTGAAAATGTCGAAATCAAGTGTCCCGAAAACATATAAATAAAAACAATGGCTGTGCAACAAGTGTTCAACAAAGGTCTGCGCTCGCGCTCTGGCGCAACCTTAAAAAACTACGGGTGTATCAACATGCTGATCCAATACGACCGAACATGCCCCTCGCGCGCGCATGCCGGAATCATTCGAACGCCCATGCGCGCGCTGTCGCAAGAACCTCATGCAACAAATCCGAGCCACCGGCTTGCACTGATGCGCCCGCGCGTCAGCGGAGCCTGCGAGACGCGCTTGGAAGCGGTCAGCGGTCAGCGACACCGCCGCCGAGTCGGTCGCGCCAAGCTGGCTGGCCGCTCTGCGCGCGAGCATGCGCGCGCTAGCGCGGCCGCGGCGATGTACCAGCCAGCGCCAACCAGCCATCGCAATCGCCGCCGCATGGGTTTTGCAAGCCAAGTTGCGGGTGGGCGGGTGAAAAGTTTGCGCGGGCATGGGAGGCGGCCACGCGCGAGGAACCCTCATTCAATTGCACCACACAGATAGCACCACCTACAGTGCACCATATATCTGTATTTATTGCACCACATAAATTACATCACATAGAGTGCACCACGTAGTTTGCACCACATAGAATATAGAAAACGCTGTTTGGGGTCCACGTTGGCCAACATTACACATCTATCTTTAACATACGTACACTGGTGTTGTGCATCCTGTCTCCCGCCGGACAAACGAAGGCCAACGGAGATCATAGCCTCTAGTGGTAGTCCCGCCCCACAGCTTTCTGCGATGAGAGGGCCCTGTCGTCTGTGTCGGAACACCTCTGCATGGCGACATTCAGTTGCCCTCCCTTGTTGCCGAGGGAGGGCTGGACAGGAAGAAGAAACATCTGGGAACTGGCCCCCCCACCGTTTCGAACGACCACGACACCCCAACAGCCTGTGAGAGGCAAACGACATAGAGAAAGCCTGTGTTCATGATGTGCTTGTTGTTTCGCAGAAAGCGCCAGTGCATCACAAAATCAGTCAAAAGCTCATGATGCAACGCCCTGGACACGCAAAACGCGCGCCGACACAGCCAACGTGACCAGGGAATACGGACACCATGTCGGCATCTGTAATGCTCTTGGCAAATTTAAGACATGCTGGTTGATGCACCGCCCTCGATAAGCCAACACGCGCCAACATGACAAAAGTGGGCGGAGACTACCGAACCCAGGAGGCAACCACTTCTCCGGGTGGTAGACACGCCATTGGGCGCCCGGTTGCCTGGAAGGCTGGACACTCGGCCCCTCCGCGCCGCCGAACCAGGTCGCTAGTCTGCTGCCCCGCGCAGTCGGG